CATTCAATAAATATTAAAACTGCAATACTTTATTTTTATGATTTTTCCTGTTATGCATTTATTGTTTAATATAATAAAACTCATAAAATTAAAATTAATAATACATCAATAGAAATATTCTAAAGAATAAATTTGAGTTTGATACACCCATGTTTTGGGCCCTTTATGACAAAAAAATGTGTTATGCTCCTTACATTCCATATGCTGGCCTGAAAATTATAATAAATTGAACTTTACATTAAAAACATTACCAATTATTGTAATACACCAGCCAAGGATCTGCTATGAAACCTCTCTAGGTAATTTAAATTAAGGAACTTTAGTACATGGGCGCTGAATGATGGAAAAGCTGAGAAGCCAACAGGGAACAGTGAAGAAACCACAAGATAAGCAAGTGTAAGAAGGCACTGCCACTTCTACAGCTGGAGTAGTAAAGGGAAAACGCCTTATCAGAAACTAGAAGCCAGAATTCACTGCTAGGAACTAGAACTCTGCATAGCCTGTCTTGTGGGGAGCTAAAACCAAAAGCAAAGCAGCCAGTACTGTAAGACAGGATCAAGGATGAGCTTGTAGATGAGAAATACTCTCTTTTCCTCTTATCCTTCCTCTACCCTTTCTGCCCCACCTCCATCCTCCACTGCACCTTCCATCTAACCTTGGGCCAAGTATCTCTGGGAGCCAGCTGGTAATATAATCTGAAAAACACAGTTTGCAGGGAAATAGGCAAAACTGAGTATTAGTGCAACAAACCAACTCACTTCCCAACATATAAAATAGAAATTGAGTGCTGTAAGCTGATTACTAAACTATGTTCAATTTACTTTTCTTCTAGGTAATGAAAACAATCTGCAAATCTCTGAGTAGCTGAGACATTGTAACATTTGGTAAATAATGCAGTTGTTTAGTGAAAATAATGTTAAGTATAAAAAGTATGCAGCATAAGGATCATTATACTTTTTTTCATTACACAGTTTAAACAATATCATCACACAAAAATATGTACTATGATCATATAATTTATTTGGATATGTAAAGGATTTGTGTATTATATATATATACATATAAAATTACATATTCATTCTATAAGCATTCATTTAGATACACTTTGCAGCATGCAATTTGCTAGTTCCCCTTTAGAAAACAACAGTGTGTGTGTGTGTGTGTGTGTGTGTGTGTGTGTTTTGAGTCAAGGTCCCACAATGTAGTCCAAGCTTGCCTTAAACTCACTACACAGTACACACTGGCTTGCCATGAAATCAGGGTGAGTCTATTCTGCAGCCTCCGAGTGCTGGGATTACAGCCATGTTCTCAAGAAACAGGAAATAAATTAGTAATAAAGCATGAGATATGCAGATAACATAGTGAGTGTAAGTGGCCAACAAATAAGGAAGCAACTAATTTTTCAGGGTACAGGGAAGCAGAGAAAGCTTCACGTAAGAGAAATATTTGAACTGAAGAAAATGTAAGTGTCCTTGAAGCCCACCCAGGCTTTTCTACCTTATGCAACAATGATCACTGCAATGATTGCTCACCTACCATGTCTGGAAATCGAATCTGATTGCACTTCTACATCAAACATAATCCTGAGTCATCTGAGTTTTTCAAGAAACAGACTGAAAAGAAATTCCTCACACTTCCATTCATTTGGCAATGCAGAAATGTACAAGAGACAATCACAATTTTAAATATCTTCACACAGTACATGCTACAGTGTCACCTTCTTTTCCTATCATTCCCAGTTTGTTGAGGTAGGAGATTAGGGGTGTCCAGCTGGCTGGACAAGTAGGTGTGAGTGCACAACAGTTTTCAAGCCCTGCTCTTGCGACCAACCAGAAAATGCTATCTTCAGTTCTGTTGGTGCAAAATTAAGAAGGTTTTTGATAGGACAACCTGGCTCTGACATCAGCCTGAAGAATGGGAGGTATAAAAGACAGCAGCCATTAACCTCATCACCTCTTGCTTGCTTTCATCAGGAGCCCATTCTCACTGTGGAGTGTACTCCTTTTTCTACTTTAATTGGCTTGCATTCACTCTGCAGAGCATATTTAATTTGCTAGCTTTAATAAAAGTAAAACCTCACTAACTTTTGCATGTGTCTTGACAAATTCTTTGTTGAGTACAGCAAGAACCTAGAAAAAAAACCCCAGAACCACATAACACTATCCTTTTTTTATCCTGCGTCTCAAAAGTATACTACTAAGTATATTACAGAAACATCTCTATGATTTACTTCCTTTTCCAATACACCTGATGAATCATGCAGACCTCCAGTTTACATTGACTCAAATTCCTTGAGAAGCTGATGAAAGCCTTTCTTTGTTCTCCCAAATCTGGAAAAAGGATTTACATAATGTTTTTTTTTTTTTTTTTTTTTCTGTTAGCAACTCTTTATCAAACATGTTGATAAGATTCTACTAGCCACTCCCTTTCTGGAAATCTCACTTATTATGTAGATCTTCTTACTACAAAGACAGGTTTATTTCTGTCTCCCTTCTTAGGACACTGCATACTTATACTAATGGGAGTAAGGCCCTCTTTTAGGATAAAAACTATTCTCAAGGTTCCAAGGTGCACTCAAATTTCACAAAAGCCCCCAGTCTTGGGTAGAGTCTGCAACTGCTCAAACTGCATGTTGGATATGCCTCTAATCGAAGGTTTTCTTTGCATCCAATTTAAACAAGCACCCCAGAATCATGACTTTTGTTACAAGAAACCAAAAGGGTTTTTCCTTTCAAGAAACCTGCTCAAGAACACTAGAATTAAGTCTTATGATAACCATATGGCCCATGTAACTTTTGTAATATGGAAAATGGAATTGTTGTAGGTATTAACACAGATACCTGAAAACAAAGAATAATGCATTGCTTAATATGAGTTTGATTTCTCCCATTGTCTAGAGCTGTTATTCTGACTGAGGCTTCCACTACTCTGGTCTTAAGCACCTCTTTGTCTAGAGCCAGTAGTCCCCATGTTGTCACAACATTCCCAAAGAAAACATCACATTCTAATGTTAGCTGAACAAAAATGCAATGTTACTGCTCTGTTTTTCATGGGCTTGTATTAAACCCAGCTTCTTTTTCTCTGTTTTAAATGTGAGGACAGTCTTTTGACTATCTTTTATCCACTATCCACACTTCAGATACAGTATTAACTTTGAGATGACTTTTTTTCAAAAATCTGATTTCATATTTATGTATATATGCCCTGTCAGCAGCATTATCAGAAAGTGATTTTGGAATATGAGTGTAGAAAATTATTTGCTACTTGTTCTTGCTTGCCCACAGGACTGAATTTATAACCTTTGTGTTATTTATGATTATGGACAATGGAGAACACAGTAAGAGTTTGTCACCTCAGTAGGTATAAAAAAGTCTACTTCTCCATTTATTGATGACTTTTTATATGTCACGCAGTTCCCTTATAATAAGCTGCATTACTATCTTAACATCTGCAGCATGAAAATGCTTTGGTTTTCACTGAACAGAATCAAACAAACATAAATAGACCTGCTGCTTAATAGGTTGTCTCTTCTTCCAAATGTGGTGGGCCCACTGACCTTCACCTTCCTTTCCTGTTCCTTAGACTGACGAAGGTTGACAAAGGAAATAACAGTAAAAATAGCAGATAAATAGTTGATATGTTTCTAATTCTTGTAATGGGCCTATTTTGTCCTATTTGCCAATCCTACATTTTTGCCAATCCTACATTTTAGGAAGTCCAGTAAAGACACAAAAGATAGCTTACTGTAGTTATGATGATCACTTTCAAGTGTTAGATTTATTCATATAAATGAATAAACATTGCCTAAATAAATGTTTAGGGAATTTTATATATTTTTCCAAGATGCGCAATATCTGCTACACTGACACAAAATTTCAAGATGAAAAGGATTAAAAAATGATTTAAAATCTCTTCATAAGATTTGAGCTAAACTTCTCCATTAAAAGTGAGAAGGAAATGAAGTTTGTAATTCATACTCTAAAGAAGTTATATAGATAATCACAGCACTGAGCCAGAAGTATTACAAGTTTAGAGAGGAAAAAAATCAACCAGTATAAAAGGATATTTATTATCTAGCTTCTTAAATATTAGTGTGAAAAGACAAAACTCAACAGAAAAAACGAGCCATAGACTTGAGCAGCCATTTCCCAAAAGAGAGTGTGCAATACCTAATAAATCTATATAAAAGTAAACAACTTCAGTAGTCATCAGGGACTTGTAAAATAAAACCACCATGTAGCATCTCTACTACACACAAGAAAGGATAAAACTTTAAAAAAATTTTAAAAAGGAGAGCGGGCACCCAGTCTGGAACAATCACTTGGCAAGTAGTTTAGCAATGTTTATAAAAGTTGAACATCCTTACATTCTGATTCGGTAATTCTAGTTCTAAGTAAATGTGAATGCATCAACAAGACACATTCTAAAACACGCAGCTGTATTCAACTGGAAATACGTAACACAAATGGCCATCAACTGTAGAATGGACACGCATGAACTGTAACATATTTAGGCAATGCAGTGTCAAATAAAAAACTATAATGAACTCTCAATTACACATAAGGTAGTTGAATTGACTTAGAACATGCGGGGGAAAAAAAACTTGACCCAAACAGAACGTGTATATTTAAGTCTGTTACAAGTTTGATAGTTCTCGTTGGACATTGAGGGTGACCCATACCAGGTGACAGAGGAAGCCTCTTGGATTGCAGGCGATATTCTGGTTCTTCATCTAAATCCTAGTTGTTAGGTTTTGCTCAGTTTGTAAAAAATGTACCTAGATATACCCGTATTGAAAAAGCTACAGTCGAAACAGAAGAATAATGGCAGACACGGACCAACCCCTTTCTGTCAGCCAAGGAGATGAGAAGCAAGTCGTTTCTTCCCATCCCCTAAGAGGAACGCACACTGGCTCGAGGAAGTGGCGACCTCATTGGCTGGGACAGCACACTTCCGGAAGCGGCGCTTAGCCCCGCCCCTTCCGCTCTCTGTCGCCTTCCCGCCATCCGGAAGCTCCGACGCGAACCCGCGGTTTCGGCCGCCCGGATTCCATTCCCGAGGCAGACTGTGTGCCCGGCGCCCGGCGAAAGCCCCTCTGGCTCGCAGCCGCAGGGCCGCTCCTGCTCACGCCGCCATCATGAACATCCGCAACGCCCGGCCGGACGACCTGATGAACATGCAGCACTGCAACCTGCTGTGCCTGCCCGAGAACTACCAGATGAAGTACTACTTCTACCACGGCCTGTCCTGGCCGCAGCTGTCCTACATCGCGGAGGACGAGGGCGGCAAGGTGGTGGGCTACGTGCTGGCCAAGATGGAGGAGGACCCTGACGACGTCGCCCACGGGCACATCACCTCCCTGGCCGTGAAGCGCTCGCACCGGCGCCTCGGCCTGGCGCAGCGGCTGATGGAGCAGGCCTCGCGCGCCATGGTGGAGAACTTCGGGGCCAGGTACGTGTCCCTGCACGTCAGGAAGAGCAACCGCGCGGCCCTGCACCTCTACGTGCACACCCTCAACTTCCAGGTCAAGGAGGTGGAGCCCCGCTACTACGCGGACGGGGAGGACGCTTACGCGATGAGGCGGGATCTCTCGCACATGGCCGGAGAGCTGAGGCGGCAGCTGGAGCTGAAGAAGGCGGGGCATGTGGCCCTGGGCTCCAGGAACAGGCGGGAGACCCACGGAGGCACGTTTCCCAGCTGCGAGAAGCCCTGTCAGCCCGAGAGGCCGGCTGCCACCGACAGTGGCAGTGAGAGCAAGGACCCCAGCCAGTCCACCGAGACCACCGACGTGCAGGACGGCTCGGAAGCCTTGGGTGCCATCTCTTAGAGTCGGCTTGAGGTATTGTCTCTTTCCTGGCCAGAGCCCTCCCCTTTCCAAAATCCTTGCACTCTGGCCTGCGCAGTCACCTCCTGGCCTACCCCGTTTGAGTCCTGCAGGGTTTCAAAATGAAAACCACTTGGGGGAACATATAGACAAGGTTGGGTGAGAAGACGCACTGCTCACTGCTAGAAAGTCATAGGACACGAACTCACACTGAAAGTACATTAGTAAAAGAAATAAGCATTTATCCTGATATTGTGCAATGCGTTGCATTTTAAACTATCTGAAGAAATTTCTTCTAATTAAGAAACGAGAAAAGATAGTTATAAAATCACCATTTTGCAACTCTTGATGAAATAACGGATCTGACCAGTGGTCGTTAGTAACAAATACTATTAGGTAAAAGTTGTAGCACTTCATAACGATGGATCAGACTGACAACATTTGAGGTCAGTTAACATCATTAAAAGTGGAGACAAATATTATGGGCCTCGTAATGCAGTAGGAAGTATGTAGTATCACCTGTGAGGTATTCTTGCCAAAAGAAAGTTATGCATGTGTGAGAGAGCTACGTACCGTTTTCACAGAGAGCAAAAAACATGTTAAACTGTACCATGGTGCAGTCAACCAAATTCAGAATGAGGGAATTTCTACAGAATGAGTGACCTAGTTTCTCAACAAATAAGTACCATTAAAAAGACAAGGAATTTTCTATTAAAACAAACTTTAAACATGATATCAACCAAGTTAAATTGTTAACATTGTTTGGATTGTAATTTTTAAAAAAAAACAGGCCAAATTTGAACGTGGGCTATATTAAGGAATTAATAATATTTGTAATATGTTATAAAAACGTCTTTATCCTTCAGAGATGCATTCTAAAATAATTATGGTTAAAATAATAAATACCTCGAATTTGTTAAATTGCTCTAGCAAAAGAGAAAACGTTTGGAGGAGGACAAATGAAATAAGAATGGCAACATATCACTGTTGAAAGCGAAAGAGGTACTGAAGGGATTCCTTATACTATTCTTTTCTCTTTTGAATGTGTGACATTTAAAGTGCAAAGTAATTATCGTACCACCTAAACGGATTAATTCTAAAAATCCACTGAAAAGTAGTTTTAAAAAACTAATATCTTAGAAACCAGCTCAACTGTAGTAATATAATAACAGAACATTTTTTCCATCAAAGAACTTTATATCACTTTAAAAATTTCAAGGGTCAGTGAGCTGTCAGTAATTTAAAATCTTTAACTTCCTATTCTGAACAGCTTACCCTCCATAAACAAAAGAAACAACTTTCTCATGAGGAAGACCAATGTGAATAATATATACTACATGTAATTAGAATGAATGCAACTTGATTAATTTACTCATTCATAAAATTTCTTGTCAGCCATCAGTTTTACAACTGAGTGATCAAGATAGGCTGTTGTTTATATCATACAGAATTTAGGTATAAATGGGTTATGTTTTTTTGCATTTTAATATTGATGCCCAGCCTACACAGCACACTAACCTCATTTTATTTTCATTCACTTATAGTTCCATAGGTTAATACAAGTTAGATACACTAAATCCTTGGGTGTTAGAAAAAAATCTGTCCTCAAAGGAATCTTTGCCTCTTGATTTTTTTTTGTTTTTTTTTTTTTGGTGTTTTAGAGGCAGGGTTTCACTGTGCAGTTCAGACTGTCTTGAACTCTCTTTGTAGCCCAAGCTGGCCTCGAACTCCCAACCATCCTCCTGCCTCAGCCTCCCCAGCGCTGGGATTACAGGCATGGGCCACCACGCCCAGCTTGCCTCTGATTTTTAACCTGAAGATTTCATAATGACTGGTTCATCTCATTTAAGGGCAGCAAAATTATCTACACAGGAAGATAAAATTATACAAACTTAATGCCTCAGAGAAGTGTTGTTAAATTGACCTGTTTTGTTTTTATTTTGTGTTTTTGTGGTATCAGGGATTGAACCCAGGGCCTAATGTATACTAGGACAAGTGCTGTACCACAAGGCTAGGCTTGAATTTGTGTTCCTCCTGCCTCAGCCTCCCAAGCAGCTGGAACTACAAATGTATAATGCCAGACTGACACGATACATATAGTATTGCTCTCATTTTTAAGGTTGTTTTAGCCAAGAACAGAGTTAATAAGAGATTGCCTTAGAGCCATGTATTATGTACATGAAATTTGATAAATTCAAAAGCACTTAGCATCTGCTATGAAAAACAAAAATACCTGCCATTCTGGTAGGAGAGAAATAATAGATAAAAGAAAAATGGTGGTTATAAATCTCTGTAGAAATTCAAACTTTAAAAAATATTTATGTCTTTTTTCATTATTGTACTTGCCCTTTATTTCTAAGTTTAGGCAGTTTCCTTGCTTCACCTTCTTCCCAAATTGATGTCTCATGAGACTTTTTCAATGGCCCCCATCTAATCTTTGGTCCTCACTCTTCATTTCTGAATCTTTTCAGGCCAAAGGCTTCTTGGACATTCCCTGCCATATTTGGGCCATTTTGGTAGCAGGGTACTGTAATCTGGGTCAGCACTGTGGTGGGGTTGTGGAGCAGAGAGGAAAAGAAAAGCTCTCCTCATAAAGTTATGCATGGCTCCATGTAGAACAGGTGTTCCTGAGTTTTGTTCTGTAGCCCCGTTGGCAATCTGGTGGAGCCTAGGGACATCTCAGAAGAATTTTTTCTGAAGACAGAAAAATCATACAGGATTATAAAATAAAAGCAATTTTATTGAAATACTGTACCATTATCAAATTTTTAAAAATACCTTTATTGTAATATATGTGCTTTTTTCGTATATGAAATTTTGAAATAGAGTAATGGGTCTAGCAGTTGTAATTATTTCAAAGTAAAAAATGGAATAATTATATTTAAGATACCTCTTATAGTTGCAATAGGATATGAACATATTGTGGGGTTTGTTTTTTTTTTAGTAACAAAGTCACAACTATTGTAATGCTAGTGTGCTTCAGTACCTACATTCATAACTGAAAGAAATGTGGAGTTTCAGTTTCTACTTTAGTGACTGCTGTTTTCTAAAATCATGTGTCTCTTACTATCTCATACACATCCAGTAGGAGATCAGAGAGTGCACATAGAATTTCATGTAGATCTTAACTCAGGGGAGGCCAGGAAATGTTAGATAGCTTTGTGCCCAGGAGGGAAAGGAAGAAGTTCTGGCAATTGCATAGTGGAGTTTCTGCCACAACAGGAAACATCCTAGTGATGCTCTCAGCTGAGGGAAGCTTTGTCTCCATGTTCAGTGAGGCACATGGGGTCCTTTTGCTTCCCCTTTACGGCAGTGGTGGCAAACTTAGGGCACATATGCCACAGTGGGCTGTTTGTATGATTGAAAGCTCTAAAAGGATCATTCACCATCGCTGCTCTGGGATATGACACAAGGAACTCTGTGAGGCCATCCACAGTTGCAAGAATACATGACATGCATTTCCTCTGGTCTTACACAAACTTGAGCATGGATAATTATGGGATTCTGCTATCAGGCCTCGTTAAATCCTGAGAGACACAACCCCACTACTACAAAATCCCCTAAAGTGAAGTTTCATTTCTATCCAATTCAACATGGAGTACCAGCCCATAGGCCTGCTGTCTGAATGGGAAAAGGCAGTGGTGAAGAAAGAAAAGGGAAAAAAGAAAAGGATGTATACTACAAAAGTATTATCCTGCCACAATTGTGGTGCTCCTTCCTGTGAAACTAGAGCTCAGATAGGTACAGAAAAATACCCTGAAAGGAGTAAGTTTTGATTTTCCTTTATCCCCACTTTTGGGTCTAGGCAACAGAGACAGTTAATGCATAGAAAGGATAGGGAGCAGGTCAGTCCATGGAAAAGAATTGGGTATCCTTGTCTAAAAGATAGTAATAAAAATTATTGCTAACATGTAGAACTCACTGTGTGGCAGTTACTGTTGTAAAGACTCTGTGAAGTATGTCACTTAGTCCTCATGAGATCTCTGTGAGGTAGGTAGGGACTGTTACTCCACAGAGGAGGAAGTCACAGCAGAGAGGGCTACCTGGATAGGTAGTAGGTGGAGAACAGTGATGCAGACTCAGTAACTGCACAATTCCTGTAAATTGCTAAACACAACTACTCCTACTAGAATTTACATTCTAGGAAGTACAGTCTGTAATAGTAACTATTCAGCTTTCCTTTCTTTACAGTAATCAAGTGATAGAATGTGGTGTATGTACAGCTGTACAGCAACAGTTTGCGGTCTTGAAAAGAAATGCATCTGAAAGATTAAAATAGCTTTTACTGACAAGCTGAATGTCAACGCATTCAGCTGAATCAGCGCGCTTCAGTAGCAAAGTTTCTAGGGAGCCATAGCAGTGAAGATAGGTCAGTTCAAAACATGCTGGTTGAGGCAGGAATGCCATCAAACTGCTGCTCATCTCCTGACAAGATATATGTATGTGATTAATAGCAAAAAAATACAAAATCTTAACATTTTCTGTTGAGCTGGCAATACTGAGTTAACTAAGGTTACGTTAGTGACTCCCTTTCTAGTTTATTCTTTCTGCCGCTGAGCTGTCATTCTAACAAAAAGTTGTTAAATGTTCACATGAGCATTCACTGAAATAGACTGTTCTTAATTTTACCAGACAACTAATTATAACTGGAATGATATAATGAAATACGGAAGAAAGTTAGAGACTGACAGATCGGGTAAATTCCTAGTATAACCTTACCCCAGATATGCCAGAAGCCATAGATTTCAAATTCATTGGCACTCTATGAAGATAAAGAGGGGGTTGGGAAGAAATAAAATATTGTTTTGATTATACTAAGCAGAAATGGGATGGATTCCGTTTGTTGAATTATCATATTTAACAAGGTCACCATTCAATCAGTATGTGATGTATACATGTAGAATGACTGAAATATCAACTTTATCAGAGGTAACTGATAAAAGTGAAATTGTTTTCCTAAACCTCGCTCTGTGTACTCTCCCTGTGCTCCAGTATATAAAATCTAATGTACTTCATGGTGAAAGAAGTAAGGAAAATAAAATATTAAAAAATTCTGTGACTTGATAATGATTGAAAGAGCCATAGTAAAACCTTTTTGAAAATATTCTGCAATGCCATGCAGAATATCATAGGATATCTTTTAAAAGTAAAGCCCTAAAATTCCTTTTTGTGTTCACATGGCTATGTTAATAATTAGTGTATATTCTTCAGGGTTTCATAACCCTCCATTAAGAAAACTAGTAATGTAAAACTCTGAACTTAAGCTAAGAAATTAAGGGCTGTAATAGTCATATTTTGTAGAGTCAGCTAAGTCAAATAACTATGTAATAAATGCTCTAGGATAATTTAAGATATATATATTTTATTATATATATCTTATATAAATTAAACTATTATATATCTTAAACTATATATATAATGTATGTATCTTAAACTATCCTAGAGCATTTATTACAATGTTTTTTGACTTGTTAAGCCTAATTACTTAAAATTATAAAGCCGTATTTACTGAGTATCTAAAATAACCATATAATGTGTAGTTTTTATATGTAGCAACTTTTGCATACCTTTGCTAACTATAACAAATTGAGAGAGGTAATGATGATAGTCTTTCTAACTTACTCCATATCTAATTCTTCTTCAACCATAGAATATATTTTTAAAATAGGATTGTGCATAATAATTGCCTTCTGCAACTTGACTCATTATTGTTATTCTAGAAATAGAGTTTTCTGTAACGATGTTGTATAAAAATCGTTTTGACTGCACTATGCAGTCAAAGTCGATGGGAAAAGGTAATTCATTATTGCAGTTGTGGTGTCCTACTCTGATTTTGCTTTGTTTACAGCTAAAACAGGCTACAATACTACACTAGCCTTTTTATAACTTAGATAAACCATTCATACATCACACAGACCTTATCAAGGATAGGTTCTGCATCTTATTTATCTTTGTTTTCTTAATGCCTGGCACATTATTCATTCATGGTGGGTTCTCAGTGAATAGCAATTAAAGAAATGAATGAATTAATAGCACCCGTCTAAGTAGTCATGCAATAATTTTAAAAAGGAAGAGAGAAAATAATGTTTATAAGATACTACTTCTTTATTACCTAATGAAATTAGGGTATTTTAAATTATGAAAAGGACGTATAGTGGATATTTCAGGTTCTTCAGATCCACCAAAAGAAGTTATGACTTGTAGAAATGGATGCGGTGCATTTAACATACCAACAGATAAGAAGTCTTCATTTCTTTAGAATTGATGTTTCTTTTGAGTGGTATAGGATGGGATGTAATTTAAGATGGCAAATAAAAATATTTCAGTTTCTTTAGATTTAAAGTAGTTTCTTTAGAGCAGATCTCCATCCTTCAGGGTCCCGGTCCCCTCTACCACACCTTCTCCCTGCCTTTCTCCTGAAGGCAGAGATGGCTTCTCAGTGTCAGGAGATGTTCGTGTGTTCTAATGGTAGGGAGGGAAGAGAACCCGAGGTCTGTGTGGATCTTTGTGTTATCATGTGAATTCTTATGTCCATAGAGATATATCTCGTCCACACTAGTTACTGGGTGCCTCATAGACTGGTCAAACGTTATTCTTCGTAGCTTCTTCCAGAGCCTGTTTCCCTCCCTTCCTCACTTACTCTCTTTTTACTTCTCAACAGCACTGTAGTCCTCGTATCAACCACTTCTGCTCCCTGATCCTGGGCTTGCCTGTCTGCTCCGCAACATCTGCGCTCCGGTCATTGCACAGTGACCCAGGTGTCTTCTCGTACTCAGCTCTCAACAGCGGCTTTCCACATACCCTGTGGGATCATGAAGAAATACCTTGACACCAGAGACTGCTGGGCAAGAGCGGAGGAAGCTTGAGGCCTGCCTTTACGGAGCCTTGGTCTGCCCTTACATTCTGTTTGTAGCAATCTTACGTTGGTTGTGGTTTTCCTGCAAGGCCGTCTCCTAGAATACCACACAGGAAGCTAGGAAACCTCTGGAAGTTCCTCAGCTCTCAGTTTTTGTCATTATTCATCTGTGCTTTCATCCTTGAGGGAGGATCATGGGGACCATCAAGTTAGACTCCATAGCTCATTCCCCCTCTTCTGTGGTAGAAGTATTGCGTTCCACCTCCTATCTCTGAGCCCTCCCTCTTTGTCCTAAGCTCCCCCTTTTCAAAGGGATATTGCCCCTTTCCAGGGGGAGAAGGTGATAAGTAAGGGTTTCTACTTTATAAGCAGAATTTGGAGATTTCAAGAAAAGGATGATCTATAATTTGAATAATCTACATGTGTTAATTTTTTTTGTATTTTTGTTTGTTTTAATGATGTAACTTGGTATTTATTGCTATGGCATTTACTAACAAGATATTCAATCTTACTAGCAACTCTGAGGAAACTGAAATAAATCTGAACCTAGAATCTGAACCCAAATCTGGTTGAGTTCAAAGCCAAGTTGCTTCTACTTCCCTATTGTCACTGTTTGTATTTAATTTATAAAAATGTTTGAACTTCAACAAAAAGGGGAATCTACTGCTTAAATATGTTAAATATTGGTTTAATGTACAACTAATATGTCAATTATAACCCAATTACAGTTCCCTTCTCAGTATCTTTCTTAAGTACAGATAAGTGAAAACAAAGTGCTTTGACCTCTGAAGTGAAAATCACTCGATAAATCAATCCATTGTTATCATTACTTAATGTTGTTTTCATGTTTACTGCATGTAAATTACCAAAGTATATACATTTCCATGTTTACATTTTTTACGAAAACTGTTGTATATGGATTTAAGTCTAAACCCTGACGTGAACTGTCTGATGATGAGAGATGTCTGTTCTCTGTAACCATAATCAGCCCTGCTAAGTGCTTCTTACAGATCCACCCCATGCACTCTAAGACTATCTGCCTAGTGGTAAATGATTGCCTGAGGCAGATACAAAAGTGGTTTTTTTTCCTACATAAGAGCCATTTGCCATTTTATGTGCCAGTACAAACTTCTCATCTATCTTTGTATTATCTTTTTTCTTTCTAATTTTCTACCTTACCTGTGAAACTATTCTTTCTCTTCAAATGTGTGTTTATCTCTTTGTTTTTAAATATTACAGCTTTCTAACATCTGTCTCTAGGGAAGCATAATCTTGCTGATGAAATATTCCATGTTTTCCTTGAGCCCTTGTCAATATGTCTTCATGTTAGCAGCTCAGCAGATGGAGAGACAGAAGGCGTAGCCTCAGCTTACCTGAGTGATTTCTCGCCAGCACCAGGCACAGTGACTGTCTCTGTAACTTGATGAGAGGAGTTGGGACAATTGGGCAATAAGAAAGGGTATCTGACTTCTGCAGTATTTCCTAAAACTGGTGGCTGCTTTGCTTTGTTACTAGGAGACAACAGAATACTAACAACCTATCTCTTTGGGCTTTGCCTATTTAGATAAAGTAAAATAAAAAGTAATATTATTGTTTGCAAGTGGTTTCGGGATAATAACCTGTGATTTAGCAGCAGCAGTGTCTTTTTGTAGCACTGTAATTGTGGGAGCCTCTGGGACTGTTTTTTGTAATAGCATTGTTCTTTTTACATAGGATAAATTATGTTTTTCTTTGAATGGGCTGCTTGTTTTTCCATAACCATAATCCTAGGGAAACCGAAGGATGTTGAGCAGCTACTTGTGCAACTTCATGGGTGGGCTCCAGTCCATCTGCAAATTCTCAAAGGTATTAACTGCCAGCCAGCGCAGTTTTCCTGGTTAAAAGAGAGAAACTTGTGAATGAAGCATGTGACTTACCTAGCTAGAGTCTGTGCGGTTTTCCCTTTGGAGGTAAGAACAAGAGGCAAGAGGTGATTATTTAAAATAAAAATAACAAGGTGTGTGGATGAGACAGGGAATAGTAGTGAAAATTAGACCAAAGCTGAGAAGCCATGGAGAGGACTGAGAAATAAAGCACGTTTTCTCAAATGTGTTTGTGCAACTAATTCATCTCAGAGCTAAGTTTAAAATGCAGCTTTGGTTGCGGTAGGTAGGGGGTGTGGTGTGTGTGACTGCTTAGTAGTTCACAGTGCTGATACTGCTGGTACAGAAAGTACACGTTGACTAGAAAGGCTCTTAAAGCTCATCTGTAACATTGGCTGTGCAGTTTAAAGCACCTGTGATGAGCGTTTGTGTTGCTTAAATTAGACCCTAAATAATTCAGAAACTCATCCTTACGTACGTACTCACATAAATCCTGTTTGTCACAAGTTGCAGACATACAAATGTGTGCAGTAAAAATGTTTGTGTATACAATGTGTGAAATCTATTGATAATCAACATTACCTCTTATATTAGGATACATTAAGGTATTGGTTATTCCTCCTCATTGGTTGATAATTTACCCCAAATGCTAAAATTATTTTCATTCTGACATTTGACAGATTTGAAAAGGATTCTTCTTTTTTTTTTAAGAGTAACAGACGTGGATATGGGTACAGGAGGTATGAGAAACACTTCAAGAGAGATTTCCCGTTCAAGGAGAATACTTCCTATCCTAGTGTGTCTCACAGTATAGTTCATATGCTACTTAATTAGAGTAGCTAATAATAATAACAATAACCTACTTCATAGCTTCTGGCTAGGAGCTGTGTTAAAAATGCAACTGCTCAGCTCAGACTTAAAAATCAGAGTCCTGAATTTTAACCAGCTCTAGCTAATTGTTTTTCACAGTGTCATCTGCAAAACAATGATTAGTACAAGGGGATGAATGAACCATAAAAATAATTTAATGAGAGCTTTTCCCATTGACAGTACTGCCGGATGTAAAGTGATTCAAAAAAAGGCAAGACTCAGGTGATACAACATTTTTCTTATAAAACATGGGGAAGATTGAGGAGTTGTATGGGAACGCTCTACAAACCAAAACTGCTAAAATTTAAAACAATTTTATGTAAGTGTGAACATTTGATATATGATTACACATTTTACATAAATGTGATTTTATCATGTGTGTCTTTTTTGGGATGGGGGTGTCATTAATACTCCCCAAATCCTTACTTTTCAAGCCAAATATAGAGAAGGACCTTGGCCTTGGTGGTGTATAGAACACACCCATAGATTGAGAACACTCACACATAAATCACACTGTGAAATTTTCCTCATTTGTTTCCAGAACAGAAAAGTCAAATTTTGCAGTGTCCTGTTAGGAAGCAGACACCTGACATGTCTAGGACCATATACGTTCCTCTTGTATGTGCTAAGTTCTTTGTTCACCAGTTGGGAATTGTGAGGTTTTTTACATTTATTAACACAGTACCTAGCTAAAAGCCAGTGAAGTAGACTGAATAACTTATCAAAGCCCTTCTTTTCCCTGGACGTAAATGCTTTGAAATCTTGAAAGACACAGATAATCTCCTTGAGGTGCACTTGAAGGGTTATTTAAACCCATGTTTCTTTATGTGGGCATAGGAATTACATTTTGTGAAGTTGTGAAAAAAAATCCTTTCATTATAAATCATACATATATTGCTTCTCTAACCAAAATTAAGATAGATTTTCCACTTTTAGAATGGGGTCATCACCTCCAATGCATATTATAAAAGCTTTCCTAGAGAACACAGCTCTTCCCAAGTTGAGCGATTTTCATGAGACGGTTTAATAAAGTGGGAAATCACAGATCTCAGAGCCCAGTGGCTTAAATTTTAGTCCTAGTTTGGCTTATTACCACCTGGATATGCACTGGCACATCAATTTTCTCACTTACAGAGACAAAAATAACTCCCATGTCCTTGGGTTAATGTGTAATGAAGTAGTATAAGAAAACTGCATTGTAATTTGTTAAAAGACATGTACTGTTATTGCTGACATTTTTTGCATCAGAGGTTTTGTCCACAAATTTAAACTGGTGCAAAATACCAGTGATCATTTTCTTTTTCCTTCCTGGTGATGTAGGGGGAAAAAAATCCAGCAATTTATCATAAAACAATAATTATGTCTTCCACAAATACATACATGTATGTGCATATTTTCGGGGATGAGATCTGAATGAAGGAAGGACATTATCAATGTATAAATCAACTCTATGTTCATTTAAAAGGAAAAGAGGGTTTATTAAAAGTTTTTTATCTCTTGTTCTCTATATCCTAAACGCTCATATTAAAGTTGACCATTGAATAATATAAAGAATTTTGAAAAATTGTGTAGGAAGCTTGTAGGAAACAGTTGTTGTTACTTGTTCCTTTGACATCCAGGACAGTATTGCATCCTGGGACACTGTGCTCAGTTTAAATTTCCTGGTGGATGAGAACCTTTCCTTTGTGGAATGGCAGACAGATTAGTGTGAAGGAAAGGCGAGGAAAACATCACCATATAAGTGCCCCTGGGCGAGTCTTTCTAGGGAAGTGTACCATGGAATGTGAGACATAGAATCTCAGTCCTTTAGAATTATTACCACCTGTAATCCCTGCACTCTGAAAGGCTGAGGCAGGAGGATCAAAATTTGAAGTCCAGCCTGATCAATGTGGTGACTGAGACCCTGTTTCAAAGTAAAGAAGGGCTGGAGATGTAGCCGAATTCAAAGGCCATGGGTTCAATTCCCAGGAGTGAAAAACAAACAAAAACCATATCTGTGTGTATATCCATGCAAAAACAAACATCTATGATACAATTTTCAACATTCCATACATGTTCTTTGATTTTATTCTCTTCCATATACTTAGGGTGATGGGAAGTGGGTTACTTTAAATACAGAAAGCATCTAAGGTATAAGCACCACAACTTTTGTGTGGCATAATTGAGTAGTACCTTTACCTCAGCTGTATTAAGTTAACGGAGTTAATCAGTGGTGAAGTAGCGTAGTGGTTAAACTTACTCTGGGCTTCATCTAGTTATGTACTGAGGCATCTGCTTTGGCGATATTCAAGTAATTGCATATACCTTGCTTTAGTAATATGACAGTCTTAGCACAGCTAACTTTGGCAGGTTAAAAGGAACACCAGGAAATAAACTGAAATAGTCATTTGTTAGTGATGCTAGAAATCTCAATTCAGAGTGACAAAATCAAATGAAAAGGGAGTATATAATGGGGGAATAATTAGCTGTTAAAAAGTCAATGATTTTTTATAAAATCTGCATTGAATCCTCTGTTCATTATCAAAACAGTGCAGATTTTTATCACTAGGAATTTTATTTCAACAATAAAGCCATAGTTTACATAAATTTTGGTAGAAAACATTTGAGTTAATTTACTAAAAAAACAGAAGTTTCTGTCTTTAATAAGGAAAAACTGTAATAGTGGCTTATCTTAGAGTGTAAAGCTTTTAGAATCACCCTGTAATTCATGGCTTATCCCTGAGAATTCAAAGCTTTATAAATAATAAACCTTTTTCAGGACATGGTACACATTGTCTTATGTCAGATAAGGCTCAGCTAAGCCAGGGGCATAAATGAATTCTTGATTCAACTGTGATACCCAATATTCTATTACTTTCTGTGGCTTACAACTGTACACTCCTGGCTAAACCTACAATGCTTCAGAATAGTCAGTGCTTTTATAACACTTCCTGGTTCCTGTCTCCTTTGGTCCCTCTTTCCTATAATTATCAATAATATTTCTATCATAACTGATAATAAGCAAAGTATTTTAAATTCATACTAAATTATTAGTAACTGCTAGACTTGCTCCTATAAACAATGTTATGGGGCACCTATAAAGAATATCTATATTTAATTCAAATAAGTCTGATTGTTAAGATAAACCTCATCATTATTCTTAACCCACTTTTTGAAAGATCTGAATTGGGAGTTCATGAGGTGATATGTCATGTCAGGCCACAGTTTTCAAAGGAAGGAAGCATTTCCTAACTATGAGCAAACGGAGTACTATGTAAACAATGCTGTTCGAAGACTTGAAACTTTCAATGTCTTTCCTCTGATACTTTCTTCTTTGTTCTCCCATATCTTCAGCAATTTAAAGTCTCAATTTCCATATCCATAAAATAGGAATAATTGTAAGGTTGCCATAAAGAGTAGAGAGTTGTTATGAAGATTTAATAAAATCTGTTAATTAAGCCAATATCTAGAAAGTATTAGGTATATAAAAATAGTAGTGCAGCTACTTCCCTTGTAGTTATAAGTATACATTTTAATAAGGCTAATTATTGCAATACAGGGTTTTATGACTCAGTTTCATTTTAGTCAAAATATGACCCAGTCATCACAGACTTCCTAACTGCCTGTCTCCCCTCTGTCCTCTTCTGGGTCGTCTTGGAATGTGTCCAGGAAATAGCAAGACCACAAATAAAGACATGAAGAAAAGAAAGACTTCACAGATGAGGACTACTAGACCAATAAAAATAATCCTAAACTCCACTGTCCATCAATAATGGTAGAACAAGAGTTTTCAGTCCATCAATAGTATTTTAAAAGAAAACATTTCAGTGAAGTTTTATGCCAATAGTTAGGCACTTCTATTTCTCTTCTGTTTTTCAAATCTAAAAGCCCAGTGTTTCCCTGACATATCCTTGTGTGCAAAGTAAAAATAAGAAGCACAAGTAACTACAATAGCAAAAATATTCTGATTCCTCTTCAGATGGTATGAAGTTTTCACCATTTTCCTAATATAATAGCAAAGAGTTCATTTTAAATAAGAAAGCATGATGATTATGAATATAATCCTGAACACTGAAAACTCAGCTTTCATGCTAGAAATACACTAAAATCATACATAATGTGTATCACATACTACAGTGCAATATGTTTTTGATAGATGTTTATGTTTTTGAATGGAAAAAATAATTAAAATGCCATTTGATCCTCTGCTTTTTTTTTTTTTTTTTTTTAAAAAGCCATAGTCTCCAAGAAATCATGTTGGCTGGCATTAATGACTAGTTTGGTAGTTAAGTGCCCAGGGCATAGCCAGAGGCCATGAAGGCTCTGGGTGAAGACAGGTCGGGCGATGTGGTTTACTAGTAATTAACTGTAGGTGTGAGTCAAAACTTGTAATAGAAAAAAGTTACAGTGATTCTATAACTTTTCCCATGCTGTGGACCCTGCCCGTTTTTTAATAAACAGGAAAAGATGATGCCTTGATTTCACAAG